CGAAAATTTGAATTTGAAGTCGTAATTTTGAATTTGAAATCAAAATTTCAAGTTTATATTTGAAATTTCGTGTTTAAAGTCAAAATTTTGCGGTTAGGAAGGAAAAAGGCTGCCGTTTCCGATATCAGAATGTGATTCGTCGTAATTGAAAAGAGATTCCCCTTGCGTGTTTAGTAATCGTCCGATTTTTCAATCAGTGGTACTTTTTCGATAGCTTTTTGAAGAGAGAAGCATTCGATATTGTCAACCAAGATGTATCTAATATATTTTGTATTACTTACAACATTAATTGCATTTGTCTTCGGGATTGAAGACGAAATTTTGAGTTCGAAGAAGTAATTTTGACTCAACATTACTAGATTGTTGTTGAAATTTCGAGTTTAATGTGGAAATTTCGTGTTTAAAGTCGTAATTTCGAGTCGAAATTTCTAGATTGAAGTCGAAAATTTGAATTTGAAGTCGTAATTTTGAATTTGAAATCAAAATTTCAAGTTTATATTTGAAATTTCGTGTTTAAAGTCAAAATTTTGCGGTTAGGTTGAAATTTCGAGTTTATAGTTGAATTTTCAAGTTTGAAGTCGAAATGTCGAGGCCAAAATCGAAATGTCAAGGTCAAGAGTCGAAATTTAGCGTTGCAAGTCGTAATTTCGAATTGAAATTTTCAGATTGAAGTCGAAATTTATGACATAATTAGCTCTGATTGGCGTTCAAGGTATCATAACGGCTTGCCGTATTTTGGAATTTAATTTTACCAAAATAGTACAATAAATGCTTGTTTTGTAATTTCATTAATGAGTGAATTTCACTTACGGTCATCATGCCTATTGCTGTTATGAACGAGAAAGTATGATTTTCTTATCCAGTATGTTGTTGGAATCACAATGGATTTATCAAAATACTCATTGAACCAAAAAAGAGGAAAAGTATTATTATTTTGCCTTATGAAATATCATGAGTACAGACTCATGAAAGGCTTGAATTTTTGTTTTATTCGAGTTGTGTATTGGTTTTCGAAATGTCGTGTGTTCTAATACCGCTTCGAATCCGTTCTTGCATGTTTATCTAGTCGATGTTTCACCTAATCCTAAACCAATAACGGCCTCGTGATTTGTCCTTGTTCGACTGTTTATTTGCCTCGGTAAGATCCTGGGACCGTGACGATGATGGATGACGTAGCGAAAAAAATACCCGAAAATGTCGTAATAATCGAAGCTCTTCGAAAATAACGTGATAATGTGTCTACAAAATATTTACTAGCAACCTAGATATTTCAATAACGGTGTAGGTTTCAACGTCGGCGATTCCTTTGTATTTTCTGTGTTGTGGTACATCACAATTGATTGACGTAAAAGGTATTATCCGGTATTTGTTTTAATGTCATCAATTCGAGCTTGACATTTGTATCAGTTTTTTATAGGCGGCAATATTGAAGGAGAGTTAGTCATGTCTATCTGAGACATCGAATGTCTCCCTGGCTATATAAAATATTAGAATTGGGATTTTTTTACCGTATTTTTCACAAGTATCGATTACATCTGACTACTGATATGGTATTCTATGAGTACCTGATGAAAATGTTATTTTTGCTGAATATATAAATCTATCATCTTGAAACTTTGAGTCATACAGTCATTTGGCACATATTTGTCGATTCTCTCTGAACTTTGTCCGATCAGCAGTTCATCTTTTGCTATTATTATAATCGCTCAGTTGCTCGGAAACTTAAACTCGCCGATAAATCTCAATTTACAACTTTTTATTTAAATCACCATGATATATAAAAATTAATACAAGACCACGGTAAAACCCGGAAACCAATCAAAACATCATGATTTTAGTGACTATATTTGAATCGTCTCTTCTCTGAATACAGGACGATTAAATTATTTGGTTCAAAGGTATCAAGAAGATTGTGAATTACGGACATGAAACTATAGATTTGCACTACAGTCGTGCTTTTGAATCAATCTTTTCGTAGACTTTATGCGCGACATTTTTGTTGTGAATCTATTTGACGTGAATCTCTTGGAATGTGAGGACTTACTTTGGCCACACAGAAAAATTGAAACGGAATTGAGGGGATCTAATTGACTGTAGAAGTTCAGAGGGACATATAATTCAGAGCTGATGGAGTGTGTTTGGGTGTCGTTATTTCAGTCAGTTTGTTCAACTCAGTTCTAAATGAAATACTTGGAACACAACAATTATTGAACTCTGAAATCAATTAATTCAATTTTGAATCTTGGACAATATTTACTTGCGGACACTATTTTATATAAAACAAAATCACATGTTCTGAAATGATAATTCTAAGACGCTAACAGACCCTTCCACGAATATTTCTCTTTCTCAAGGCTCATTCAATTCCCGAATGACGACCGATTCTAATGGATATTTGATGAGTCGGAATTTAAAGAGAATCGTGTACATTACCCGTGTACTTTAACCACGGTATCGCGATACTTATCACACACACAATGTCAACGATGTTTCTGTATCGGCCTCGTTTTTTTACCCGTTCAATTGCTGCCTGATAATTTTAATTGAGGATTATCATATGAATTACTTCGGTCAGCTTGGCGTGCGTATTTGTGTATGCATGGGGTCTACCATATATCTGCGATCTTTGTGAATCACGTTATTCGGACTACCAATTTGTGATTTTTTCGACAAATATTTACAAAAAATTATTTTTTACTTTCTACTCTGGAGGTCTGACTTGTCTCTCAAGTGTCCACTGCAACACAATAAAATATATTCGTCCGTTTTCAAGATTACGTCCCTTCGCTCACAGAAGATTTTAGTGAAATTGGTGATGCAAGGATGTTTTCTCCGTACTGCTTCTCGCAAGCGGCGCAAAACTTCAAGATAATACTCCTTTTTCAAAAACTGCACCTCACGATTTGATCTCGACAAACCTGATTTAGTTTAAGAACCAAACAGTTATGCTTCGGAACTTTGGTTATTCCCACTAATGACCAATGAATTTACGAACTAAGGCAGTTCGAGACAAGACAATAAAATATATTCTATTTTTTGGACTTTGGACCACATTTTTGACAATAATTATCAAAACCGGTGCAATTTTCGTGCACCCAAAAGCAGAAGCAAAACATTTGATCGAGCTGCGCGTTTTTTTTGGTCTTGGCTCTTCCATTAGATCGATTGAGACATTTGCACTTTGGTTTCGATGTCATAACCATATACCCATGATTTGTCACCAGCTATTCCCCTTTTAAGCAAATCTGTATCGCTGTTGACGTCATTCAACAATTTTAGAACGAACTTCGCTGCCACATGCTTCAAATTTATAAAAAAAATTACAAAAATCTACATGGCAAGAGCCAACCGATATGCCATCACTTCTCTAATAGTGATTCAACATTCTCCATAACGATTTTCTTCACTTTCTCAACATTTTCGTCGGCTGTTGATGTGCTGGAGCGTCAAGAGTGAGCGTCGTTATTTACATCTTCTTGACCATCTGCAAAAGGCTTGTACCACTTGTAAACATTTTTTTTGACTCAGAGTACAATCATCGTATGCCACTGTAAACATTTCGAGTAGTTTTGAGCACTAAGTTCTAGTTTTTACACAAAATTTGATGCAAATTCTCTGATTCATTTATCTCTATAGCATTAAATCGCCGAACATGCAAAACACTCGTAACTTTTATGTCTCTCACCAACAAACTAAACATGCTGAATAGCTGAAATAGAGAACATATCTTCAAGACGAGTGTACCAACTTGAAAAATGAAAAAATCGCTGATGGAATGTACGGGGCCCGCGAAATTTGAACATTTACATTATTTTTAATTTTTTTAAGTACGCAAAACAGCAACCACGAAAAAATGAGCAAAAAGTCGCAAGAGAAAAAACAAAATAGAAAAAAGGCGAAGGATCCCATGCAAGATCGTGAATTATTATTGGAATATCAGAAAGAGAAGGTAAAGTGGGAGTCGGCAAGAGGAAGGATTGCCCAAAAACTTACCTGAAAAAACGAGAGAAAAGTTGAGGTGCTGGTAAAAAACGAGAGGAAAATAATAAAATGCTGCTATAAAAACAAAATTATTTGAAAGTTATTTCTAAACCGAGTAAAGAGGAGGTAAAGAAACTCATTGACTGAAACCAAAAGGGAAAATTTTCAAGATAAACTTGTTATCCAAAATGGTAACCAGACCTCAAATGGAGAAACGTCTTGAACCATTGTAAAACATTTGGGAGACCGACGAAAATAATGGATGAGTCAGTCATTCGGGTTAGAAATCCGGACGGTACTGAAACCGTTAAAAGCAGCCGCACAACTGAGACTTTGAAAGTTTTTTGTTAGTGCATTTCCAACAAGCAGCTGTGTATTTTTTTTAAACTATTTTCAACCGTCTAGAATCTTCCCAACAGCGAACCCAAATACGCCTATAGAAAGATCAATAATAACAATATAATATGCTTTATTGCCCAAAGAACATTAGGTCTTATTGACAAAGCTGCAAATTTTCATCATAAACATATACATACATACATATATACATACACATATACATACATATATACATACACACATATACATACACACACATATACATACATACGTACATATATACATACACACATATACAGATACACAAATACATATCTATACACACACATATAAAGGGTACAAATAATATTAAAATAGTCAAACACATATAAAATTGATTGAGGATATCATACAATAAAAAATAATATTGAAAAGTTAAAAATGTTCAAATGCAGTACACCATACTTTGTCTGTTTAATAAAAATACAATTGACAAAATAAATTAGAGAAAGTTGTCCTCATAGAACTCTTCTAAACTATTATAGGGTCAACCACATAATAAGTCTTTTACTGATTTTCAAAATACACAGTTATCCTCTAAAATTTTAATTCGTTGACTTGTTCATCTTGTTGAAAAAGTTGATTGTAAACAATCCATATCATATCAATAAATGAGCGCTTTGAAAAATGACACAACCCAGTTTACTTCATCAAATGTTTAATAACAACAATAAATATATCAAGACCACAAAGAAAAATTAATCTTGGTTGTTTGCTTCGTCGCTCTCTGCAGGGATAGGCCCGGAATTATTCGATGGCATAGTGAATCCGAGAGAGTGCTGCCCCACAGAGGAGGGTATCGAGCCTGATACCGGCACTGGAAACAGAGGGCCGGTGCCGCTCAGCCTCGGCCTCCTGGTGCTCGCCGTGTGCTCGGTCGGCTTCAAGGTGAATAGCGAACCGAAGCAGATGTGCTGGACCAGGGGGTATTTGCTGAGAACCTGCCGAATATTAAATGGATCATCCATCATAATAATTGCAGTACTTCCACGATAATTTTTTATTGAGATGCGTTTCGTTAACGCGGTGGGTTCATCAGTTGGACTTGTATATCGAATTATTCTACGATTTCTTTTGCATTGGGTCTTCCCACAACAGATGAACTACATCTGTTAAACTAGTTGAACAGAGATTGAAATTGATGAAATAAGATTAGTTTTGATAGTTCAGTAATAGGGGTAGGCTGAAATAAGCACATTTGACTAATTTTCCATTGCCACTTTATATAAAATTCTTCCCTTACCGAAATTTTCAGCTTTAAAGGGTGGAAACCCTTTACTTATTTCTCTATGCTTTGCTTTATACTGTATCAACACTTAACTAGATTATTGACCCACCCAAACAGCTGACTAAAATTTTCTCAAACCTTCATGGAAATCGTCTACTCACTTCGGCTTTGTACATTTTTATCAACCCTCCATTGATTTTGGACCAAGTGGAGACTCCGCTGATACTCCACAGTTGGTTAGAGTGTTCGGGGAAGGGACCGGTTTTCACTTGGTTGATGTACTGGATACAGCTGAGGAACATGTACTCATGTGCAAAGGATTCCACTACTGTTTCTTTCAGGAAACAAGTCGGTTCAAATTTGGGATTGTCTGAAATTACCGATAACAGAAAGGAAGTTGGGTACAATTCACAATTTCGGATAAGCTGCACCCTACAATTTTGAAACAAACTGTGGGTTTAGTCACGTATTTTGACGTGTAGATTAAAAACATGAAAGGAAAAACTGGCGGAGAGTTATAAAGTTCCGAAACTTTCCAGGAGTGTATAAGCTGACTTGTGGCTCTTGCCCAATAATGTATATTGGCCAAACAGGGAGAACTTTTTCCCAAAGAATTAAAGAGCATAAAAGTAGTATCTTAAATAGAAAAACCAATTCCACATCTTTTACAGAAGGACATGAGTTCAATCATGAATACGACGTGTTACATTTAGAACAGAAACGTTTGAAACTCAATCTCAGCTCAGGTCATTTAATTCATTACAAACTCATGTACACATAAAACATTAAATGCCTGGGTAAAACTCAGGTGCTTCAAATTGAGGTACTTCAAATTGCAAAATAATTATATCGAGCATTGATATGTAGAATTTAGTTAGTAAAGATACGCCTGAAGCGAAACACGTGTTGGGTTTTTGTAAAACTGTTTAGTAAAAATCTCACAGAGTATTTGTGTGATGTGAAGATGATATACACTTGTATTCTCAATAGTTGTATTGTAATTTACATGTCAAAATACTTGGGTGCACATTCAATTTTTTTTTCAGCTTATCCAAAATGTTACCGAAAATTTCAACTGTAAATAAAAAATAGAATACTATCGAGTACGTACCCTCTCCATGAGGAACAATAGTATAAGGAGCCTACCTGCTGAATCACTTGGGAACAAAGTTATTTCATAGCAAGACACGAACAACAATATTCAGTCTCCCGATGAGGTAGACAGATAAGCAATGAACTAACCTATAAACTGAGAACTACCCCAAATGAAAGGAACAAACTGATAGTCGTCCAGGCTCCAAACTCCGTGGCTACCAGCAGGTTCCATGCGATAAGTTACTTGGAGTCTTCTCACCAACGTCAAGTACCTAAAGAGTAAAGAAACCTGCCATCAAATAAACTCGTGTACTTTTTGTACGAATTTTGGATATTGTGTTGTTTTTTGATCAACTATTCAAATAAACAAATCAAACTGAATGGAAGGTCGAGCTGGAACTTCTTTTTCTTCTTTCTGTGAAATTTTCACATTTTAATGGGTTTATCTCGTATAAATAAATATTTGAACATTTAACTTTAACGTTATTCCTACCTTACGAAAACTTTGCAAGCAGTAGCAGTTTGATCATCGGGCTTCAAGTACTCAACTTTGAAGAGAGCGCATAAAAACATTACGAATGACAGTTCGTGTCCCGTGCCATAGTCAATGCGTGTAGAATTTCCAAAGCCTTCCACTAAATAAACCATGATTTCAGGGATCGCTCTGTACAGGTATTCCGGAAAAATTGTTTGCAGAAGAGGTATGGCTTGCTGAAGATGAAGGGGTATCAATTAAAAATCCATACGAGTGTCTTGTTCTCTTACATCCTTCAGCTTCTTGTAAAAGTCTCGGAAAGCGATGTTTCCAAATCTCTGAGGTTGCTGCACGGGAGGAATGTCGTCTATCCATTGGTTTATAGTGTCCAAAACGCCTACAAGTTTGTTTATTTCTTCCGAAGCGTTTGCACTACCTTGGGAGTTACTTTTTCCCCTAATCGAATCATTAATAGCATAAATGAATCCGAGATATTCCTGAAAACACAGGCGTGGAAATAATGATTACAACTTCAAGTCTGTGTGATAGGAATGTGTTATATTTACGAAATATGCTTCGGACTTATCCCACTGCATCATATCATCCATATTTTTCACCAGCTTCATGGGGGTAACGTATACGTGATTCGCAACTAGAAAGCAACGTCATTAGATGAAAATTTCTCGATATTACTAACATACGTACTGTGGTCTGGTTCTTTTTGTTCATTTCTGTTCATTTTAATTTGTTTGTATTCAGAAAATAGTATATAAATATAACCTCAATGTAAAACGTCACATTGACAGTTTATTTCTGGGTTTTAGAGGTTCGTTCGTTTGTTAAAATAAATTGTCCGACCTTGATATCTTGTCCCGTTCAGAAGTTAAGGGGCAGGGAACTATTTATTACGCATTGTAAACAATACATTCATCAAAAATATGGACGTTCATATTCGTAAAACCATCAGACATATTAGATACAATACAAATCATGAAAATATAAAACAAAAATTAATTGAAATTACTTGGCGCTCTGGGGCGACTTCATTGATTCCTGTGGTGCATTTGCTTTTTCAGCTGCAGGAACACCCGGAAAAACCTGACGCACCACATCATCTGAAGATCTTAATCTGCCAATGTCCTCTCTTTCATAAAACAAAATGTAGGGTGTCTCCAGAAGCTCCAATAAATTCAGAACACTTCGTGACACGACTATCGTCAAACTTAAACAAACGAATAAACCCCGAACTTTTGTAGGTAGTTCGTTCACTCCCTCTTTTCAAATTATTTGCCTAATGAATATAACAATTATAATTTGAACAATTTGGCGTAGTTGATTCATCTTCTCAAAGTTTTTATGGTATTCTCAAAGAATACAAAACCTATGAAGCTTAAAAGTGACATTCTCGTATCAATAAAATGTTTAGTACTTATCCCGACCATCATTGGGCGATGGCAGTTCGATGTTTGTATTTAAATTCTTTGACAATGATTTAATGTATCAACATAATTGGGTAGCTAACTGCAAAGAGTACAAGAGCGCAGAGACTCCAAAGCACTGGCCCCCGTATGTAACATCTCATCCACTCCTCTGTTGGCATTCTGCAGAGAATTCTGATGCTGAATAGCGTAGTCAATATTTATGGCTGTGACATCAGGATTGGGGGCGAATCTTCTATTCAGCAGCTGCTCCCTTTCGCTGAGCGCTGCTTCTCTACGCGCCCTCTTCTGTTGCGAGGCTACTAGCGCGGCCTGCAGGTGTCTGCTGTCGTACTTTAACTGATCGCAACGCATTTTTGCGTTTTGCCTTTGGTCCAGAGGCAACTTCAGCGTGAATAAGTCCAGTTTTGAACAGTTACTTGAAAAAAAAAAAGGAAATTTTAAGTCGTTCAACCACTTGGAACTCTAGGAATCGCTACCTGTTAATGGTGTCGAGCTTTTCTTGGATATCTGCCTCAATTTCAACCGCATTTTTTCCGCTACCTTCCAATAATTGAAAGTTGTATTGGGTTTGTTGGATCAGCTTGTTGGTTTGGTTGTAGAGGGTGTCCATGACTGAATACTATCATCGCTTTTTTTTATCAATATCGCCTCATCATTAAGCGAAATTGGATTTATTTCATTAAAAACTATTTGAAAGTCAAGGTAACGTGGACCTATAACCGAAACGTCAATTTTGTTTTGCTGGTAATTTTCACGTCAAACGAGAATGTCAAATAATGAGTCGTTCGTTTGTAAAAATACTATTGATATGAAATATTGCTGTCATTACTCCTCGGTCAATTTAAAACAACTACATGATGGTAATGGAATTTCATGTCCTTCGGAGGTATTCATCTACGTTAGCGCGTTTCTACTAGTTGAAGCAATCCATCGGAAATTATACGTTGAATTTGAGAACTCGGTTTAACTATCATTATTTATTTTTTAATATCATCTACATATACAATAGTACAAAGTTGAACTGTTTTTGTATTTCATGTAATTTGACAACATTTTTTTCTCAATTTCATGTAAGTACAAATATAACCTTTTGATTGAATTCGACGAACTACAGTTGTTCGGTTAATGCAGAGGTCAAAATAATAACCTTATACTGGAGTAGAAATCGCTGTCTAAATTTCAACTGCTGGGGCTCCCTTTAAATAGAATAAACTATTTGAATTGAAGGAGTTATTTTTTTTCCCCAAAAAAAGAATAAACTATTTGTCGAATCAAGAATGACAGTTACGAACAAACCGATTTGTATTAGTGACATGGAACAAATGTCTGTTATTTTGTTCCGTCCTCATATGTTACGGTGTTAGTTGCGTTTTGTTTATGGTAACAACTGTCTATTTGGTTAGGGTTAGTTCTCACTAGGCTTTTTTGACGTAAAATTCAAACGATTGAACTTGAAATAAGCGCGTATTCTTACATTTAATCCAAATCCAAATGCAGCTTTTTAATTTTTTAACCTCTAAAATAGAAGTGTAATGAAAGTCGTGGTAATGATAATAGTAAATTTGTTGGAAGTATGAATATTTTATGGCTGCAATTTTAAATGATCCGTCAAAAACGAATTTTCCTGTTGGCCTTGGGATTTTTACTATTATTTTTAATAACAACTAATTACGTCTGGATTGCTTTACCTAATAATGAAAATGAGGTTAAAAAAGTACAATCTATTGAAGAGAAAATATATTCTGAAATGAAAAAACTACCCGATATTTACAAATTCAAATCTATCATTTCGGATAGAGGAACAGATATATTTTTGAAAAATATCAGAGATGTTGAATCGGCTTTAGATGAAAAAAGCTTGAAGGAATTGTGGAGGGAAGCTAACTCTTGGGTTTCTAAAACGCAGTTAGTAAATGCGAGCAGCCCAAATTTGGGAAAAATACAATTCGCACTAAAGCATGCTAAAATCATCAAAGCAGACGTAGATACTCGAGGCACCCAACTGAAGATCCTTCTCACTCTACAAGGGAACCAATTGGTGGTGTTCAAACCGAAATGGTATGATAAAACGAAGATAGTGGAAGGTCCAGTTTACGCAGGGAAGGATCGACATGCTTCTGAAATCCTCGGGTTTTATCTCTCGATAATATTAAAGAAACCTTTGTGTCCTATAAGCGTAGAAAGGCAAATATCGCTCAAGAACGATGTTCTACCTGTTGCCACGAAGAGTTTGCTAGAAACTTCCTACATTAGAAACAACAACACTTGTGTGTATGGAAAGTGTTTTTTCTGTAAGGAAACTGACCCGGTATGTGATAACAATTCGTATTTGAGTGGGGCTGTGATTTTTAACTTCAACGCAACTCTGGCTACTCATAGGTCTCCTTGGCAGAGGACGTATAAGAAAGGAAAAAAAGCTCTGTGGCAGGTGTTCCCTGAGAGCTACTGCAAAACAGTTAAAGAAAGAATATCTGAAAAACGCTTGCATGACCTGATAGATATATCCATTTTTGATTTTCTTATACAAAACGGGGACAGGCACCATTACGAAACTCTCGATGATACTGTGCTTTGGCTAGACAATGGTAAAGGATTAGGGAATCCAAATACCCATCACATCGATATCCTAGCCCCTCTGTACCAGTGTTGCATTTTGAGAAGAGAGACCTGGAAGACTCTTTTGAAGTTGACAGGGGGAACTATTAGGGAACATCTGGAGATGATCCCTGGTGTCAAAGCTATGGTTACGGAAGACCATTTAAGAGCTATTGAACAAAGACTTTTGATTGTATTCGCCACAACTGAATATTGTAGACACTTTAAACAATCTGAACACTATTTAACGTGATACAAGTTTTTCTAGATTTTTCTTTTATTGATACAATTAAAGTGATGCCAAAGAATTGATGAAAAAGATTTTTATACAAGTTTCAATTGCCTCAAATTTTTGTGTATACTCTCAACTAAAAAGTAATTTCTGTGTATTAATAAATTCTTTCGATTCATAAATGTGTAAATTTCTTCGAATTCATTAATAAACCTCTTGAAGTTGAAAGTTTTTTTATGAGAAATTTTTTTTGTTTTTTTTCATTTCAAACTTTTTATAATCTGAAAACTGAATATAGATCGATAGAGTATCTGCTCAACACTCTGATAATCTTGTCTTTTATACTAATATGGATGATCTTAAGTCCTTATGTGTTTGAAATTAAACAATTGTAGTATCACAAGAAGAATTACTAGTGACAAAATTACATTTCCTTAGTTTTCCTTTGTTCATCATTGAACTGCAAAAAAGTTGGTGCTCTCAAAGAAATAATTATGACGAGGCAGGCTGTACGTTCTAGTCCTTTGCTACTTAGATAGAGACCAAATATTTAATGCTTTTGCTTACATTATTAGTTGTCAGCGATATCCATGTCAGTAACAAGTCTGAATACTATTGAGAAGAAATACATACGTATAGGAAAATAAATATTTTGAAATAGAACATCAAAACATTCATGTCTCCCAATGTACCTACACAGAGAAGCTGCAAGACTAACCTCTGTGAGGTATCCTGCAAAAATGTCTACCAGTTATATCTCAGTGTCCATCATGGCATAAGCCGGGGAAGTAGTTGTTTTTCGGCAGGTATTTGCAGAACCTACATTGGGAGATATGAATGTTTGAAGATTCTATTTCGAAATATATATATTTGCTTATATCCATTTTAGTATAAATATTAGTCTGGTTTGAGGTTTTTGTTATGCTATTGCCCTGCAAAAAAATTTGCTATGTTCAATATGACAAAGATTCTTCTAGGCCAATCTGTTCGATGTTCTGAACAGATTTATTGGAGTTAAAATATAAGACAAATATAGTTGGATTCTCAAGATCGATGTCAATACTCTACGCACTGTATTCAACAAGGTGAAATACGTGTTCATAAATCAGAAAAGAGATATCAGTTTCTGGAGGCACCGTACTATGCATTACTCTTTTAAAACCAATGTTCCTTGCATCGTGAATGAACATAAAAATGTGTTACTTTCGACAAATCGCCCTATTGGTTATTTTCTTATATAATTCTCCGTCAGTTGAAGGGTTACCCAAGAGAGCCAATAAATACAACACAATTTTATTATTGACTAATTTCTAACAAGTAAACTTTCACTGAATAATTCAAATATTTCTCTGATTGTTACAGAAATCAGTGATGACCTTCTTTGAAAAATCTCAAGCCGCAGTAGCCACAAGCATGATTTCCTGGTTTATCCTGCAAAATACAATGATTGATGAAAAATTATAACTGATGTAATTTGTTACATAACAAACTATCAACTATTATAACTCTACACTAAAGGTGCTTCTACTAACAAGATTGATGTAAACTTTGGGATGTCCAGTGGGGCCACTGCCTCCATCGCACCATACAACACGTTCTTTGCATGCCTTCGGCGGAACTTCTGCAATGAGATCGATGGCAAAGTTAGGGTTGACGTGTTTCGGCCTGTTGATGAATCTCGACAACCTATAGTCACCTTCTTCCCATTTCTACGGAAAATTTTTCTGAAATCGCAAAGAGATAATTGTTATTTTATGTAACCTGTCCTGTGTGAGTTTCTTTCTCTTTAGGCACCCAATCTGCCATACATCTTACTGTGACAGCAGGAAGCTGCGGCTTTACCAAAAATTTTTGGGAAACTTTAGCCACGACTTGGATTTTTGACATTGTCAAATTTCTCTAGTCTATTGAGTTTTTATCTTCAAAATTTCACAAAATAACCTCAAATGTTACTATTTTGAAAGACAGTTCTGCCAACTTAACTTTAAGCAGTTTTGCCAACTTAATTTTTAAGCAGTTTTGCCAACTTAACTTCAAACAGTCTTTTGTACTCATCATTCCTCTTTTTTGTCCGTTTATGACATTAGCTACCAAAACTATGCTACTAGGTTTGTACACACTATTTTTCTCTTTTATATTATGTTCTTTGAAAATTTACAGTTATGACTGTGAATTAGGGCAAACATCTGTAATTCCCTCACATTTACAATTTGCACTTGTCATAATAGATGTCAATTGATGAAAAAAACCTAGCCAAAGCTGTATTCATCTAATATGTGATGATTTCACAAGTTTTAGTTGCATTACTTGGATTTAATTTTGGCGAGGTTAGGTTACAAGAGAGTTTTTATGTTATTAACAATCATACAGTGAATAAATTTGCAATAAATTCAATATGCTAACATCTATTGTGTCTGGTACAAATTTAACATGCGTGGAATTGGCTGTTTACAGACGCTGTTCATAATTTATAGTTATGAGTGTAAATCTACATTTCTATCTATGCATTTGTCAATTTACAGTTGTAAATGCGAATTTACACTCAAAACTGTGAATTCACAGTTATAACTCTTTCGTGGGAAAAAAATATTATAGATTTTCATGGCCTTCTACATTTCCGTATAGTTGTGTAGTGAAACTTCAAAATGGGAGTTTTTATCTTTGTTATGGAACAACTTAGTTTCTACTTATTACATTACGAACAGTAAAAATTCACAAATATATGATAACTTTTTTATAGTTCTAACCTAACAAGTAACTTATTCCTTACATGCAGTAACGCAGGTAAAATCGTCTCATTATGGTTTTTTTTCTATTCAACTTGTCACTATTGAAAGTGACCTTCAATTATTTGGTAGTAGTTCTAGTCTCATTTAATATTTCTCATTACTCTCTGTGATAACATTATGGCATTCATTCGATCTCTTAGTATATTCTGTATCAAGAAGGCGATTGATCGAGATGAAAATACCTAGAATATTACATAAGGTTTTGATGGTGACTGATGATATACGACAATTAAATCACAATGTGTACTTGTCAGAGATTTGCTTTCTCTTGCTAGTACAAACGAACAAATTGGTTCTTTCTTTCACTCACACTATGTCGAGTTTCGTCTATTTTCATTTAGTCGGTGTATTTTGATTGGTCGAAGTTATGCATTCAGTTGCCTATGATTCTGATTTGAAAATCATCATCATACGACGATTAAAGCACAAAGTATACATGCCAGGCATTCGCTGTCTCTTGCTAGTACAAAAAAAATTGGTTCTTTCTTTCACTCACACCATGTCGAATTTCGTGTATTTTTATTTAGTTGATTGGTCGAAGTTATGTATTCTGTTGCCTATGATTCTGATTGGGAAATCGTTTATCGTATCATGATGAAACGACAATTAAAGCACAAAATATACATGTCAGGCATTTGCTGTCGCTTGCTAGTACAAACGAACAAATTGGTTCTTTCACTTACACCACAGAACACCTGTAGTTAGGGTGTTCTGTGCTTACACCATGGCAAGTTTCCTGTATTTTTTTTAGTCGGTTCTGATTGGGAAATCGTTTGACAGTTTGAAATTAACCTGCAATTTAATAATGATCTATTTTATTATGAAAAACAACATACAACTTGTTAGGATATTTAGAACTTTCAAAAACTGAAAATTTGAATATTAAAGCCAGAGACGTTCTGCAGTAAATTGATTTAGTATGAAAAATACTTTTGGTCTGCCCAACTTGGACAATCTGCTGTAAGTCTTTTACTTCAATTCTTCAAACAAACTAAGGTGATATAATTTTTGTAATGCATGGTTCAAATGTTTAATTCATCGAGTTACATTTTAGCGAGAAACTGTTTGATAAAATTACGGAAAATTTGAAAAAGGCTGAGGGGATCAGCTCGGATTGGATTTCTAGCGGAAGATTTTGTACCCCTAGATTGATTTTTTATTTTGAGAGGTGTCCACGGAATGTAAGTAATGTTAAAAAACTGGAACACAATCTGGAGGACAAGATTTATTATATTTTGAAGAAGACCCGTATCATAAGTACGACAGGGTAAGATGTTGTTTCATTTGAAAGTTTTCTTGGTGAACGTTACAAGTTCTATTGTCTAAAATAAGATGGCAGCGAATTTAAATCTTCGATAGAACAATCAGAATGATAACGAATGAAAACTGTTGAATACTTGAGAGTCTGATCAAATCCAGTCTCGTGGAAGATGTATATACCTCTTAAAGCTTTGTCAGTAATAAAGTGTATTCCGTATTATTATTACTTTTACATCTACACTCATCTGACTTGCAATAATAGTGCAATAGTGCAATCGAGTGATTATTCGACGTCTTTGTTGTTGTCATTTTAGATGCTCTTTGTTGGCCATTCCATTGAACGATGAATTTGTATATATATCAGAAGAGAACGGATTCAACGACAGACTGGGAGACATGGTTCGTGGTCTGATAATGGATTGTCAGCCTGGCGGAGCCATGCAAGTTGAGGTGCCCTATTCGAGTCAGCCTAGTTTGAAGAAGAACTTCAAGAAATTCCTCCAGGTACACATTCAGCAAGCTAGGAGCAAGGGCTTTGATGATACTGTTACGTCGGGGAGGCACCATCATTCGCAGCCTTCTCATTTCGAGGTCAGTGATGTTTACTTTTCGCCTTCAATGTCTACCACAGTTGTAAACGAATCGTCAGGCATAATAACGAAATACGTCATGTTGTTTCCTAAAGTTCAGTCCTTTGACCATTATTATTTGAATAAATGATCTATGTAGTTTCACTACACCTACAACATGTGTTTTGTTTGCTGATGACATGACTCTTATATGCTCAAATTAATACTTTACTACTGTACCCCAACAAATGGAAACAACTAAGAATTTATTATAAGAATTTTTCAGTTATTACTGGAGGGGGATCTTTTCCTTTATAATATTAGTCTTCTCTCTCTTTAAAATGCTTTTGAATGGCACTAAATTTATTTCCCTCCCTACTGATGCACTTTTCTAGCTTCCAGTACTGAAGCATTGGATCGAAGCTACCAAAATACTCCACCACCTCATCATCAGGAAGAAAATGATCAAGTCTCTTTGTACGGACACAAGGTTTTCTGAACAGCGTTGTCTCAAAGTGCTTCCTCTCGCTCTTGCCAGGTAAAATCGGTGTTTCAGTTATTCTTTTTTTGTCATTCTTGATGTGAAGTAGCTTTTCTGTTGGTTAAATTGTTTTACTTTACCAACCAGGTATCAAGAAGGACTACCGTCGCACTATGCCAAAGCAGAACATGAAGCTCGTCTAAGTATCGCGCTGGCGCTTTTCAGAGCTCAAGCCCGGGGGCCAGTGTTTGATCAGTACGCCGAGCAATTGGAAGTGGACTGCCAGACGCACTGGGAGAACGGCAGGCAGCAATGCGAAGCTGCCTCCATGACCGGCAATCCGTGCAAGCTGCCGAAGCATCTTGCTGACCAAGAGCATCTAAGTGGCTTCATTTACAAATGTAAGAAAGTAAACTGACCAGCTTGGAATACCCCGAGGACCCGTTTTCGGGCCATTTCAATTGTTTTTCAATAGACTGTAAAGAATAAGAACGTATTTTTCAGCCGTTTGCGATTGCGGGCGGAAAGTAGGGCCGCGAGAGGATCCCTACAACGCCAAGCAGGCCAACTTCCAATTCTACCAGCAGATTGGTAAGGAGTGTCAATGTCTGAAGCTGGAGAGGGTGTCTTTTCCCGTCTTTCAGCCATCAATTAAGGAATTCAAGGTATATATTTTCCTATCGTTTTGTTCTTTCTGAACAAGGTGTTTGCTTTTCGTAGGCGGCAACGCTAAACGAATCTGAAGATCCCCTTTCTGGATTGTCGGAAGGGGCTGACTTGTCGCTTGACGTGGACCGCAACCTCGTACGACAACCGAGCACTACGGAATACCTGCCTGGGATGTTGACGCTCAGCTCTCCTCCTGGACTACTGCCTGCTTACTCCAGCTGGTCTCTGGTGTGTCTCGGGGCTTCTTCTTTATACAGTCACAATTTAGGTAAACCATTTCATGTTCAACGTCGATACAAATGTTATTATTGTCAATATGATTTATTTATGTTTACTTCGTGATGTTGTGATTTATGTTGGTAAATATTATTCTCTATATCTTTCATAATGCTATACCTGGCGCCATCTATCTTCAAATCAAATAAGTGGCGTGACGTAAAAGAAAAATACCTATCATGGCAAAAAGATTAGTTACAGTTTTTGCAGGCTTTGTTCAACCCATAGAAATCTACAGGGTGGTCGAGTGTACCAATTTAATCGAAATTAAACGACCTCATGCATTTAGTTTTATGATATTTAGTATGTTATAAAAATATCCCTAGACTTTTCCGATGTGTGTATATTAAACTGATGTTTCACAACAGAGTGTCTTATTAATGAGGAGAGTCTATCATTCCAACAGTTTTTATATCAATTTTTTTTTTGTTGTTTCAAAGTACTTATTCCAAAGTACCTGTCCCAAAACTTTTCCTAAAAGAATAAGTCATTGAAAAACATTTGTTTTGGATGTTTAATCTCATACAATCTGAAAAGTAAACAAAAATAAATCAGTAGAGAGTCTGCTGCCTTAGCTGAATCGTATTCTAAGAAGGTATCAACTACAAAGTCTTCCATTTCTAGGGCTTTCCGAATCTCACCATCCTGGCTTCCTGAGCTCTATGAACTACTTACTCCCCTGGGATGTGACCGTTTACACGAAGACCAAACAGAACTGGCCCCAAATCAGTAAGTACACGCCGAGAGGTAGAAGAGGACGGCCAACAGGTAGCTTGCCTCAGTTCACCGTCAAGATTTTCATCGGGGTGGAGTATGAGTGCTCGTCTGGTCACCGGTTCATGCTGTCGGGGCCAGACAGGATCCTGAAGGCGATGCCGGGAAGTATAGTTAAAGATACGGGACACAAGGTTCGGGTTCGGATATTCAATTTATCTCTAGAGTCTTTTGCACCTCGGATGCTTTTAGGTAGCGGAGAGCGATATGCCTTTGTATTATCCGTGTCCGTGTAGAGCTGGGAAGCTGGCACAGCTGATGAGGCTGCACGTGGTGACGCCCAAAGCTCCGGTCAACTGTACTTTGGAACCAAAAGTGAGTCTCGGTGCATTGTTATTTCCAGAAATAAAGAATGATGTCTACCGCGTCGTGACTCATAGCACACCTTTCTCTTCAACAGGTACAACCTGCTCCAGGAGCTCCAATTTTCGTCAGTACGACAGAAGGACCGACACTGTTGACTCAGTCTGCCTACTGGATCATGAGACTGCCGTACGTTTATGTCGCGGACAAAGAACACTACACGTACAACCCGTCCGCCAGGCTGCTGCAAGGAGTGTTTGGAGTTGCAGAAATGGATTAATAGAATTTTAGAATAAAAAAATACAAAAGTTGCATTAGGTGGCTCCGAGCACAAATTCCATCCAACGGCTCCGAACATAACAGTTGCAAGTACGTACACCTTTCTTCTCTTGCCTAATTTTGGGGATACTTGCAGTCTTGTGAGTTATCTCTGATATTTCTCATATGAAATAAAGGTATTCTCTCAATAAAATGTCAACACTCGATTTTGTTCCGTAGAATAAGTTCTGAAAAAAAGTTCTCACCAGTGATGAATGAATATCCCCCCGTGTAATGTATTTATACACGTGTGGTTAAACATGTTATCCATTTTTCTCCATCTCGCTTAGTTTTTGGGATATTTGCATTTTTTTGATATGATACATTGCTTTCCTCTCACAATACTAAATTATTTTCCCAATAAAATGTCGAAACAATTTCAGTTTACAAAATAAGATCTGAAAATTCCACAGAAAAAAAGTTCACATCGAGTATGAATAGATATACCCTGTAGAGTATTTCTGCCCGTATCACTAAGATGTAACCCATTTTTATGGATAGATATGCACCTGTAGGGCATTTCAGCAAGTTACGTTAAGTAACTTGCTCTATTTCGGTCAGTTTTTGCGATACTTCTAAAAATAAATATTTCCAGAACCATTTTGGCAACCCACATATGGTTTTTACCATATAAAATGGAGATATCTCATAACTTGATTCCATTATGCAGAATTAGCTCTGTAAGATATTCAAAAAAAATGTTTTTGTCCCCAACAGGTATGGGTAGTTGAACGTGTGGTTGAGCATGTAACCAACCTTTTGAGATATTCTCTGAAATGAATTTCTTACTGAGAACATGGTGCTGTCACTCAAGATATCTCGTATACAAAAATAGGTTCTTTTCGTCTATTGAGGCCTTTTATATACATGAAAAAACTGCCTTGATACTGATACTCAAATGACCTGAATAGAAAAGCCATGTTCATCAAAAACATAATTATACAATTTTCACAACAGTTTTTATTCAGGACGTGATTCGCTACATGATAGCTTCATCAGTTGGACTGGTGATTTTGATCATCTATATTGCTTCTCGATGTTCCACAACTGCACTCATAAAAAATAATCCTGCGATTTGGTATTCAAAACTTGCAAAGTGGGACTTCTTTTTTAAATCAGAATATCTAGCGTCTTCACGTATTCCAGGAAAATGTTAGTAGTCCAATAAAAAATAATCTCAGGTACTATTTCAAATATAATTTTAGCAATAACTACACACCAGAACCTCTTCTAATTAATTTGCCATCGACGCTATCCTTGATAACACATCATTGGAAGTTAAATTTGCCAGTGAAATACTTTTCTCTTTTCCAAACTCTGAAAAAAGGGTGATAAGGTATTTTAATTTTCAAAAGTTGACAAAAGTCATACCATATCTTGCCCACAGTCTTGGTTCTATGTCTGAACATTCCCTGATTAAAATAGGAAATTTCGGATTTGTCGATTTCAGTTCAACATAATGTTTTTCGATAAATTCCCTGTAAAAGAAATCATCAATTCTGTTATATAACCTGCATTGAGTTAATTCCTACCTGACTCCTTTACTCGCGGAGCTTTTTTGACATAAGTGAATTCTTAATTCCTTCAGAGCTGAAGTAAATCGGATAGATGCCGACATGGTAAAAGAAAATCAAACCTAATAATCCTATCTATTTAAGAGAAATACTAACTTGAAAATTATGTCAGAACTAATAGCGTTTTCCATTGGTAAAACCGGTGCATATTCAAAGTATCTCTGTCCTTTATTTCCTAATAATAACAAAAGAAGACATACACAGGCAACAGTGCACTGGTTTCACCAATAGAAAACGCTATAAATGTCAAACATGACATGTCTTCTTCTTCTTTTATTAGTGGGCTTCATATACTGTTTTACCCAGTGACGATTGACTACAAAAATTACTTCTTTTCTCTACATGACGATTAGATTTTTGTCTATCTTTTTAATTTAGAAATTATTTTTTGACCACAAGGAGATTCCTCATTTCCACTGAATGAAAGAGTGATTCAATGATACAACAGATTTTGGAAAAAATATAGTTTCCTAATGATACATAATAATACAAATGTATTATAAATTTCACTACCTAAAGAATATTCTGATAAGAGGCAGATCTTTCCCATGACCGATGACTTCTATCAAAAATTTCCATCGGGACTGCAGCTTGACATTTCAAAGCTAATTTAGCAGCAGCGAATCCCACTGACACACAAACCTCTTCAGGCATATTCGCAATCAACGCAGCTATGAATCCGCTGGCAAAACAGTCTCCTGCTCCGCTCACATTGACAAGACTATTGATAGCTTCAGTTGGATAAAATCGAACATGCTCCTCATCATAATTGTTTGTAAAAAACTTTTCGGTTGCTAGTCCTTTTCGAGCTACCAAAACTCCTTTGGAGCCAAGAGTTACAATAACGTTGTCGATTCCATGACTCAATAATTTTCGACTCAATTCTTCTGCTTTAGCGATATCAGAAGAGGATTTTTGGGGTACAAAGTCAAAGAATCGGGCAATATGTTCGAGTTCACTTAAATTTGGAGTAATGAATTTTATCGCTTTCCAGTAAGGCGTCTTAAATGGTTTTGTGGATGGCTCGACATCTGTTGGTTCGAAAAGTACTGAAAATAATAACACAATTTCATTTCACTATAATCCATCTAATCTAATAATAAAAAATGATTTTGGAGGATCCATGAGCTCATCAGTAAATTTAAGAACTCGCCTATGAAATAATATATTTATATTATTGATGGAACTGGATATTGGTTGAGTAACTAATCCCAAACAGATAGACAGTCGAGTAATAATGACAGTGACAATTGACAATGACTCATTCTTTATTGAATGAAAACACTATTATTTAAGCTTTTAACGTTTAAAAATGGCGATGAAAACAAAAACAGGGATATGTGCGATAGCCGTAACCGTTGCAGCTTCCATATTCGTTATAATATCATTTTGCTCCCCTTATTGGCTCGTGAATGATGAAAAAATCCAGGATCCACAGTTCATAAAAATTGGTGAGTTTGAAAAAGGAGTGGCACTGTTGGTGTAGGTAGTAGGTTTTTGTCACTTGGATTATATCATCATGCATCATGCCTTTACATTCATTATATATCTACAATTCAGAAATGTCAACCAGTTACAAACCCAGTCATACATACATGAGCATAACACTAGGTATGCTAAGTTATTAAAAACCATACCAACTGTTGAATTTGTTCCAACATCATCATTATATAAGAAAATTTTCTTGGTGAAAACGAAAAAATATATCTGAATTTCATTTCTAGGGCTCTGGGAGGTTTGCTTCAGAAACTTTCGAGACTTTCGACATCAGTATGATTTCAATTTCACCGGCTGCTGGTGGGTCTTCGAGGAAGAATACTACATCATTTTCGACTTCCTTCTCCCCGGCTTTTTCATCGCCACTCAGTTCTTCTTCACTTTGTGCCTGACTCTGGTATTAGTGGCAGCTTTCCTAACATGGATGTACTGCTTTTGCAGCAGAGACCACGACAAATACCTCCTCTTACTGCTAAGCAACGGATCGATCCTCAGCTTGGCAGGGATCTGCGGCTTCATAGCAGTCAGCATCTTCGGAGCCAACGGTGACAACCGGGACTGGATGCCCAACTGGCAACACAACGATCTGGGTTGGTCTTTTGCGTTTGGGGTTGTAGGGTCTCTCTTGCTGTGGCCTGCAGGGGCACTGTTTCTCGTGGAAGCAAGAAGGGCCAGGTATAGGCGTCTGGGGGGCTCTGTACGCCAACCTCCAGCCCAATACACTATGGAGACTGCTCGACACAAGCCTTCAGCACCACACCATACTGACATATAATATAATTTTTGGGAACAACGGGATATGCGATATCCCTTTTACAAGGTGCTTTTCTGTATCTGACACAGTTTTATTCTGAAGCGAGATTAGATGACTAAACTCGTTTCAGAACAATTCAGACTAGTTCACACTAATTGGGTCATATTTTTTCTTCATTCAGCTGTCATAGTTATTCAAATGGGTTATTAAGGAAACCCTATTTGTTTCAAAAAGTTTTTGTTTCATTTTGAAAGAAAGTATTTGCTTGAAATGTTCATTTCTTCACTGAAAAATCAAATTTTTGAGGCAAACCTCAGGTTTTTAATATCAGTTATGTTGGAGGTTCGGACTTTCATTGTGTAAAAAAGTGTTGACAGGTTTAAAATCTATGAGAAGAAAAAATGAAGGAAATATTGAAAATAGAGTACTGAAATTTTCGGATGTTCTCGTAGATTTCAAATCAACTGACACCTCTTTTGAAATGGAAGTTTGAACCTCCTACGACTCATTAGCTAGAAATATCACTACAGTTCATGAACAAAATGGAACTTTTCTTAAGAGAGTCTGCTGCACATTATGTTGACACTCTTCCTGAAGATGCATTCTTAGGATCTCACTGTTGATGTGTAGGAAAAGTATTTTCTTATTTTTGTTGCCAAGAGTTAACGACAAATTATTCCAGTATTTGTTCTTATAAACGAATGAAATACACCTTTTCAACTTACTGCTAGAAAACAGGTTCTTTTTTTAATGATGTTATGTCTTTTGATTTCAATTTTCATATTTCTTTGACTTACTAACCTCAAAATGATGCTAGCAGGGTTGATTTGGAGAAACGAATTGACATCGTTTTTTGTCTTTTCATATTTTTAGTTGACACGATTCTCCAAGAATTTGTTTGAATACATAATTGACAAATATATGTATAATTTTAACATTTTTTGTTGAACTTAGAATCTCTAATATTTTATTTTATATTATATATCCGTCCATTTTTAGAAGTGTATATACTTCAGTAAAAAAATAAAAAGGACCTATATAATAATCGGTTTTTTAATATAATTCTCCTACATAAAAGATATCAAATTATTTTGCAATGTGAAAGAATTTTTTGACTGAAGTATTGCACATTTTTATATTCTAATGTATTATTTTTGCATAAAATGTGTTGCTACCTGTTTGAAAAACAGAGTTTGTTAGTTTTTGTACAAAATAAAGTATTTTTACATATTTAATGGGTTATTTTCCTTCGGAACTAGTTCAAGTATATCTATTGTATCAAAAGCACGTCTGAACCTTGAGGCTAATTGCTTGTTTTGCAACAACGTTTTTAGAGGTTGCTTCCATTCAAATGCATGTGAGGAGTGATGAATTCTGACTGTTTTGTCTCAAATTGCTACTTAAATACACCTTAATTAGTTATACAATTGTCCATGGGTGGAGGTTTGTATTATTACCTGTACATTTTTTTGGGAAACTTGAAATAGTAACTCTTCAAAGTTATATTTCCCTGGACATACAAGTTTTTCTTTTTCTATAGTTATTTCTTCAGTAAATTCATTCAAATATTTAAGACAGGAATGAGTGCTTCTAGAAATATATTTCCCTTAGGGGAGTATTCAATAATTTCCATTGAGTTTTTGTATTCTATGAGAATCCTTATTTTATCGAGTCTTGGGAAAAATTGTCATGAAAATTTATCTTTTTCATATTCAATGAGGGGTTGGTCATTTCTTGATGTGCTCTGTATTATAAAAAAGAAATTGGTCGAATTCACATTCAATAACGACAAATTGACATAAAAAAAGTTCCCATAACAAATCATTCTTTTTATTGAAAAAGAGGACGGTTGAATATATCCAACTGAAAATTATTCATTGGTGTGTTTTTTTATTTATTACCATATTTCATTGAATAGGGCAAGAACCAAACTCCAAGAGATAAATTGTATTATTCCGTTAACCACCTGCCGCCCTCTTACGAAAGACAATCCTCGGAAGTAGAAATTTTGGCGAGATAAGGATTAATAATGTCTTACTTTTTAACGTGCGATTCCTTTGTGATAAGAGAAAACCTGTTAGTAATACCTCTTGACCGCAAATTCTTAACTAGTTTAACAAAAGGTACGTTTGCCACATATCTAGACGTGGTCATTTTATTCTACTAATCGCTATAACCCGCCTCCCCTAACGCATACTCCGGCACTGACCATCGCATCTCAAAGAAAGCGACTTACTGAGGTGAATCAAATAAACTTGCAGGTGTGGTCAAGCGTTCAACCGTCGTCGTTGTCGTGCGCAGTTCATAGAGGTTTGTGTGTGTTGTTATTTGTTTGTGTCTTCATTCCAACACTTTTCCTTTTGATTTCAGCCAGAAGTTCGGAACAGAACAGAAAATGATTCTGTAACTTCAAACACTTAGTTGAATGTTTACTAAAACTGAATTTGTGCTGCAATAAATGCGAACGGAAATCTCAGAAGTTCCCTGTAATTAGTTCAAGCAAAGGCGTAGGTGACTGACTCAATGGGTGACTACCAAGAAGACAAGGTAAACATTAGGTTACGCCCTAGTTTGTTCGAAAATTCACCTACATTTTTCAAAAACACACCTCCAGTTTAAAATAAAAGTTTGAAAACCATACCAGGATAAATTATAGTTCCTTATTGTTTCGTTAATGAGAGAGGCAACACATTAAAACCTAACCCAGAAAAGGTTAACTTGAATTCACTATTCGCTGATTAAAAAATGTGTGGTTAGGAATTTAAATGTCACTGACCTTTTATCTATCCAATATGAATATATACAAGGGGGATCAGAAACACGATAATGGAGAGTTATTTTTGTTTTTGTTCTATAATTGATTACCAAAAAATAGTATTCTTGCTATTCGTCCATTAAACAACTATAAGTAACTCGCTGAGTTTGTAAACAAAAATGTATCTATGGAAATACATTTTTGATGAAATATATTAATGTATAATTTATGAGACAAATTTGGACTACTTAATTTTACATTCAGAAGAAATACAAATACTCCAGTGATATTTCTTATTTATCGGTGTTGCACACAATAATATATTAGTTTCGAATTCTTTTTTTAGTTTGTGTTGCCAAAACGTGTTTTTTTAGTTATATAACTATTATTTATTGTCTTATGTTTGTTCAGAAGGCATTTCATTGAATATTAAAATTTCAGCAGTTTTATTATTGAGCTGATCAAATTTATCGAACTGAAGCAACAAAATACAGACATGATGAATTTCATAATTGATGTGGGTGCATTGACTCGGACAGCTTTGTTCTGACAGGAGAAAGTATATCATAACTTCAATTGATATAAAAATCTCACTGAATAATCTTTCCAATAATGAAATAATCTCCATGTGATGCATGAAGTAATTGAAAAAGTGTCATTTGAATATAATGTATGAGTTGCTCACTGTTTTAAATATATTTCGCATAAAAAATATTTCCTTATAGTTATTCATATATTTATATAACTGATTACTATTCCTTTTCAGCCAAAGAAGCGGTCTTTAGCTGGTAATGTAGCTATTGGGCTTTTCGTGGTGGCTTTCGTAACGATAACAGTGGCGTTTTGCACCCCTAGCTGGCTGGTGTCGGACTACAGAATAACCGGCGCTAAACTCGATCGCTTCGGACTATGGGTCCATTGTTTCCGTTCTTTGCAAAATCCATACACCAAAGATGGGTAGGTTGTTACAAATTATTTGCAAATATGATGTTATCTAATCAAGTCAAATTGAGAGGCATACTCGTACATTGAATATTATAAGGGACGAAAAAAGTCAATTAATGTTTATCAAAATCAACATCAATACAGTTAAGATTTATTTATTTGGTTGATAAATGTGGGAGCTTTCCAAAATCCTGACTTGGAGAAATATCAGTTTCTGTGTTAGGAATCACACGTTGAAAGGTAAGACCTCGTTAGTCCTTAGCTCGCACAAGTTTCTCAACTTCTGAGAGTTGTCTTTCGTATAGGGGCGACAGCTGATTAACGGAAAAACAGATTTTGAACAGATTTTTTTATGATCTATGAAATTTCATTTTATTGAATATATTTTCTGCCGAATTATAAACCAGACTTGCCTCAAACTGTTCTGAAAATAAAATCGCGCGCGCTTATTAACAAAGTTTTTTTTTTTTAAGGATAAAACACAACATTAAACATTATCTATTTCTCTTTTAGATTCTTCGTCGGATGCCGGTGGTTGTACGACCCTTTCACGACGGGCTACGACAAAATACGAGGCTACCTGATGCCAGACTTCATAATCGTCACCCAAATCTTCTTCACGTTGTGCTTCATCTCCGTCCTATTGGGTGCCATCATAACGCTGATCTACTTCCTCTGTTTTGGGCCTGACCAGAAGCAGTTCCTTCTGCTCATCAAATTGAACGCCTTCATTCTGCTGGCAGGAGGCATCTCGGGGGCCATCGCGGTCATAGTTTTCGCTTCGCTGGCCAACCAGAACAGGTGGATGCCTGGACACGAGAACAACTTTTTTGGGTGGTCCTTCGCATTGGCTTGCATAGGGGTGGTGCTGGTTCTAGTCACTTCTACGCTCTTTTTTGTCGACTTGCACGTGCAAAAGAGGAAGCGGAGGTTGTTGGCAGAGTCTCAGAGCAGGTTCGAGATGGAGCCTGAGCACAAGGGGTGGTGAGGAGATTATGAAAGGCATCCGTGTGTGTTTGGTTTGTTGCTTATTTTTTAATGAGAGAGAGCAGACATTCTTAGACAAGATGTATTATTTTTCATTCCAAAACATTTGTAAAATGTTGCTATTTTGATAGTTTTTTTATTATAACACAGTCCGTCCATTTTATAAATTATTTAGAAATAGTTTTAAGTTAATAAGAAGGCAGTTGCACTTTGAAGAGCATGGATCTTTACATAAACTTTTAAATGCCATGTCAGAAGTGTTTTTGATTTTTCGTGTTTAACCAATATGTATGTAAATCTATATTTTATTAAAATCTGAGACACTGCCACTATGAGCTGTTGATCTTAAGTTAAGTGCCTTTATAGTATACGAGTATTCATGTCATAATTTACTCTGATGTATTTTAGAAAATTTCTCGAATGTTTGGATTTTATGTTATGATGCTTGTAAAGCTGTTATGTTAATAAAATGTTGACGATACTTTATCTCGATAGCTTGCTTGAAAAGAGGAATATAGAATGAAGAGTCTTTGTGTCATCGTTTCAAAACTGCGTATTACTGGATGTCGATTCAGCATAGGTCGACATTGATCTTGTTTATCCATGTCATCTTGAGTTTGAATGGATAAGGTCAATGAATAACATATAACGTACCTGTTCTTTAATGTATTGGTTAAAATATAAATTTAATTTAACACTCAACATTATTTATATCAAAAGCTTGCATCTGGATTGAAACTATTTCTGTCATCATTTAATCGTAACTGAAGGAAAACATAATTCCTTTACTATGTTTAAGCATAATAAAACTGACAAGATAAATGTGATCGAATTTATTTACAATTTCTGCCACTTCTAGATCTTTTGTAACTGAACTATTTTATCATAACATTTCCATTTTTATATAAAATGACGCTGAGAGAAGGAGGAAAGAATAATTATCCCAAGGCATCAAGTAATTGAGAACATAAACAACACGTTAGCTATTTTTAATAAACTAATCACTTATTTCAGGCCAACTGGTGAACGGGGCTCTTTTAACCTATCTAGCGGGACTGCTTCTCATGATGGCATTTTGCAGGTAACCTAGCAAACTTTGAAATGGTACTCTTACGTTATGTAATTCTGGAATTTCAGTCCATACTGGGTACAGTCGTACGACGAAACGTTCTCCGAGTTCAAACACATGGGTTTGTGGGAATACTGCTTCGACCAGTTCCGCTACCCCTACTATCAGTTCGACCACCTGTTTGATGGCTGTCACCATGTCTTCAGCCAGGAGTTTTACGTTATTCGGGAATGGTTGCTGCCTCCATGGCTAATGGCGACGCAGTCGTTCGTCACGATGGCTTTTCTACTGAGTTTTGGGGCCCAGGTGTTGATGGCGCTGCAGCTGTGTCGATGGCCTTTGGAATTTGTGTTACAGAGAGAGTGGATCTTGTCTGCGATTGATTTTGCCTGCGTAACAACTACCAGTGAGTACGACCCCAAACAATTGTTTTTGACGGCTTTCGCTGGTTTTTGAAACATTTTTGAGTAGACTTGCTTATTTTTGTTTGAATGTTATTTGGGATTGTACAGGAGAGATTCCTGGAATAATTTCCGAATTGTTGTTATTCGATCAGGAATCTGAAGTCAAAACTTTGTGCTCCGTTTCAATTTAATATGTATCAACTTAGGGAATACATTATTTTTAGCTGTCTTCATGTTCCTGGCGATCGTGATCTTCGCAGGCTCCTATGAACGTAGAGATTGGCTCATGTACCCCAACTTCAACCATTTAAGCTGGTCCTATGCCATGGGAGTTCTGTCTTTCTTCCTCCATGGTTTGGCGGCAATTTTCCTTTACAAGGAAGCGCAGCAAAGTTATGAAAGACGAAGAGAGTCAAAGAATCTGATCATGCAGATGCATCCCAACCCGCAGCACAGATTGGGGTGGAACGTACAGTGAGGAGCATTCGTAAGAGGTTTCTTTGATATTTGCTTATCGTTTTAGTTTAGTTATAACTGGGCCTAGCCTTGAGAATACAGCGGGGTTTGTCGTATTTGTCTCTCGCTATTTTTTAACTTCATTGTGTGCCCCCGAGAGGAAGGTGTCCAAGGAGAAGCTGTGAACAATATTTCCTTGAAAATATCTGAATTGGCTGCTTAATAGATGATTCCTTTTTCGAAAAATTAAGAAAAATAATGCTGTTGAAATTTCACTCTATGTGTGAAATCTTAATTTTGAAATCCTTTATAAAAAAAATAGGAAACTTGATATTTTTATGTCCATTTGCCATCTGTTTTAATATTCAACAGTTTCAAATTTTAGACTACTCCAAGGACACCTTATACCTTATTATTTTTCAATAAGACCATTAAAAATAAAGATGTTTCCATTGACACTTATTTGATACAGTTAATTGTTTGAATCTCGCTTTTCTGACTACAAATCTTATGACCACATAAAACAAGTTGTCATAATATTTATTTTAAGTATATATTTTGTAGATCTGATTTTCACAGATATGTCTGTTTCAGCGACATATTTTTATATGCATATATTTTTGCTTGAAAGATCTGAAGTTTTATGAATGCAAATTATCAAGTAAATATCTAGAATGGCAGAACTTCAGGCAAAATATCCAGGAAAATTGAAAATTTTCCAAAAAAGTACACCACCTTGATAAATCTTGATATTTTTGATAGTCATAAGAACAAAATCATACAAGCTAGTCCTTGTCTCTGTCTTAATTTGAGAAATTCAGTCTTTTGTCTTTCAACTTTCAAGACATCAGTAATGCACATGTCGACAATCAATTCTTCTTCTTCAACTAACTGAATGGCCCGCAACTACAAATAGTGATTAAATTCAGTTGATTAAGATGTTGACAGCTGATGGTGTTAGGAAAAAAATGTGATTTTCATTGTTATACAAAATGTGCCTAGAAGAATTGGAAATCCTCCAATTACATTGTGATTGGTAACACTTTGCTACGAGTATTAATTCTTGGGATTCACGTATTCTAAAAACACTTTAGTGTGTGATTTTCACTAGATAGTTTTACAAAAACGCAACAAGTGTTTCGCCATACAATGGCTTCCTCGGGCGTGTCTTAATAACTAATTCTACACATTAAATGCTATATATACCTTATTCTACAATTTGAGGTACCTGAATTTCAAGTACCTGAAAAACAATAAAGACAAAACTTCGTTGTTGGATAGATCAGGAGTATATAAGCTGACTTGTGGCTCTTGTCCAAAACTGTATATTGGCCAAACTGGAAGAACATTTTCCCAAAGGATTAAAGAGCATAGAAGCAGTTTTATAAATAGAAAGACCAATTCCACATTTGCAAACCACCTTTTAGCAGAAGGACATGAGTTCAATCATGAATACGATGTGTTACATTCAGGAGAGAAGAGTTTGAAACTCAATCTTGTAGAATGTTTCAGAAATCAATAGATTCAGGAATTCGGGTAATTTACTGAATGATCAATTAGAACTAAATAACTCTCCGTTACTGAATATTTTTTCAAATGTGGAAAATGGAACATAAGCTCAGGTAATTAAATTCATTACAAACTCAGGTACTTGAAATTCAGGTACTTGAAATTCAGGTACCTCAAATTGTAGAATAAGGTATATATAGCATTTGATGTGTAGGATTAGTTATTAAGACACGCCAGATGAAGCCATTGTATGGCGAAACACTTGTTGCGTTTTTGTAAAACTATCTAGTGAAAATCACACAATAAAGTGTTTTTTAGAATACGTTAGTTATGAATTTTCATGAAGTATCGGCCGATTCCATCATATATCTTGGGATTCAAATTAAGCTGTTTAGATTGATCATTCTCAGAAACACTCAAGACCCCAGAAATGGAGACAAGGACTACAATGTATAAATTGGCCAATATAATTTGAAAAATTATTGGCCACAAAAAATGTAATTGGATTAATTCTCAATATTTATTTCTACACAAACAGTCTAATATAAATTTACTTGATATTTATAAAACTTATCAATCGCTTGTTATATCCGTCCATAATTGTTACTATAAGATAATATTTTTTCTATCATTGTTTTCGTATGGTCACGAAATAAAATATTTTTGTGCACATTGGTTTTATTATATCTCGTTTGAAAAACGTGTTTCTTTCAATATCCTGTTGTATAAATTGTCAGTTGTCCATCAGCATCTTTACAGATACATCTCTTTAAACCATCTTGATATTTACTTGCCAGCAGGCTATTAAAAGAAAAATCACTATCTCCTCCATAGCTTGCAGTGAAAGCAGACAACACATCGATGTTGAAGCTTGACTTTACAACATATTACGGGTGAGAGCATTCCCCACCTTTAATATTCACAGTTTAAATTTTCTAACAATAACTCACCTGGTATGTTGTGCTTCACGGCCAACTTCAAACACTCTTCAATAGCTTCTTCCGATAAATTGGAATCTAGTATTATCAAGGGAGCGGTCTTGATTATACTTTCGTTTTCCAGAATCTGTAAAATTTCAGCTTCTTACATCTTGTTTTTCATATAAATCTATACTGTGTAATATTGTCGTCAATAGAGTAGTAATGAACCCTTTGAAACTTCATGTGGCCAAAGTCAAGAACCCTGAGGAACTTACCACCTCTGGCGTGATTTTATTGTGAATTTTCATGTCTCCCATTAGCAACCTGCAGCTCCCTCTATCGTCAAACACTACGATGCATTCTGCGGTGTTGCAACTGTCGTCGACTCGAACAAAATGCCGGCTCTGCGGTGGAATGACGGACATGATCATTTTACCTCTTTCATCTGCTCCTACGACTGACAAAAAATTTGGAGGGAATCCCAGCTTGCACAGAGATTCGCAAATGTTTCTGCCAACTCCTCCCGCAGTGTAGGTGAAGTTTGCGTTTAAAATCCTTCCATCTAACTGAAAAAAATAGAGAGAAATGTGCTACATCGAAATTTTGATTGTGAATACGGTTTTGAATAGAAATTACAAGAGATTACACTAGGCTGCCTCTATCAAAATTTTGATAATGGCAGAGCTATTTTTCATCGCTTTTTATTATTTTTTTCCCACCACTAGAGGCCACTATTGGTAAGAAAGGCAAAGTTTGACATTGACTCAAACAAAACCAGCAAACAAGGAACAAAAAAATGTGATTTACAGTGTTTCATGTGTAAATATGTGGGAATATCACAAAAAATGAATTTCAGTTGAACATGGCTGTCTCTACTGAGAAAAGAAGATTAACTGGGAAAATTTACAGTGTTCTGAGTATGTAGAAACTCATTCGATTTCGACAGACATTGAATTGTTATTTTACAATTGAGGGATATATCGTTTAGGTTTTGTGAAAGGAGATAGAGTAGTTGCAGAAGCATCATGGAAAAAAAGTATATTTTTTATTCAAACTCATATATTTTTTATTGTGAAACGATTGTTTCAAATTTGTATGTATTATAATAATTGAAAAAAAAATTAATGGGAGAGTGTTGAACATTATTTTTGTTTGTATGGAATTATTTTAAGTGATATAGTGAAATATCAAATGAGGAAAAATTGTACTTATGTACATCATCCGGATACCGTTCTTAGGTAGGTATAGTCTTAGTTACTAGTTACTAGTTATTAGGTTTGTCCTTAATGATTGTTGCATAAATCCGCTGTTGTGACATTGTAAAATAAAATATTTCATACTGAACAATTGTACAGAATTTCTAATAATTATATTTCTTCTGATTGTGGAAGACAAGAATACTGAAAAATTACCTACAACTCAATTCAACCACCACTACTTTGAACTGAAAATAGCCAACTCTCTTTAATACCTTTCAGACAGTCCGGTTCTGTGTTATCCCCTCTCCATAAACTTCCACGCCAAATTCCACCACGTTTCATAAGGACAGAGATAGGGCTGATTCCATCGCTCTTTTTGATCAGTCACAAACGCTCGATTCCCCCTTTTTTCTTCTTATTCTTTTTTTTTTAATCAGACGGAAATCGAAGGTCCGCCGCAAAAATCTGATTGAATATTCGAGTATTATATATGCAGATAGATGTGACGGATCAAAGGGTACTCCTTTGAGTGCCCTTTTGTATTCATTGTATTCGGGCCATCGTCATAATTTGAATTTATTCGCTCTGTTTTTCAGTATTAACGACGAAGGGTCAGGTTTATAGCTTCAGCGGATTATAAATTCCAGGCTTATAAGACAACCGAATTCATTTTTAAATTATTTCAAGTCAAAACAATAATCAAAACCGTTTCAAATTTAATTTTACTATTAGTCACATTGATATCAAGTTATGAAAAGTACCCATCCAACTACTTAAAATTGTAACAATCATATCTAGTCTGTAGTTTCGTGATGTATATAAATATACACCATTCGAACTTTTCTTCATATCCTAACGATGATTGAGCACCCACTTCTTTCAGAGTTACGGACAACTTTCACAACTTTTTCAATTAAATCGAGCTGAACTTATATCGATAGCTTCTTATTTTACCTTCAACTTGTTTAATGCATGTTCGATCACTTTATCCTTTCCTCAAAGTACAAGGACACAAATTGCTTCAGGAGAGTTTTCAAATCTTTGAATAACGAATATCTATATATACCGGACACGGCTTGGCCGATTTTTATGACATTTTATACGTATATTCAGTAGGTCTGAGAATAGGTTGTAATCTTTTTTTCATGTCTCTAAGTGATAAGGGTACTCCACCCCAATTTTTTTTGACAAACTTTTGTCGGATATAATCCAACGCCCTTCGTGGTATTACCCAGGGAAGTAGTTGTTTTCTGATAGGCGTCAGTCCATTAAACCTACTGTATAGGTATATAGAGACTGGCTTGAACGTTTGAAGTTCCCTTTGCTTTAGATTTGTAAACTTTTGTTTGTTTTTATTCTTTTATGATGTGTCATTAATAATACATATAACCCCCAATTTTTGCTTTTTTATCATCAACCCCTATTTTTAATAGCCATTCCCACCAGGCGTCTACCGGTGTCACTTCTCACTTAGTAAACAACACGAGAACAAAGCCGGTCTCCTAACTCTCACACATAAGCCTTCTCTCACTGCCTACACAGTTTTCAGCCACTATTATTGTTTGTCCATTGAGCGTAGATACAGTTTGTGATGCCACAGAAGCTGGGAATCATTATTCAATACAGTTTTTGAAGATACTGGATTTACCAGGCATGCCACCGCATAATTTGAATCCACCACGGCTGTGCAACAGCACGCGATTAGTCATTAGAAAATTAAAGAAAAACTTGCAGATGTGCAAATTCATTTTAAACGTTTGCAATTTCCCATTAGATTGGCATTTGCAGTGACTATTGCTGTTATGGCTTGGATTTGAGCACATACGTGACATGCTCTCGAGTTGGCAAACCATCCATTTTGTTTGTGTTAGCTAAACATGGACTAAGGAAAAATATTGTACAAACTATAGCATTGAGAGATTAATATTATTTGTAAGTCTTATTGTTCTGATAGAAATAATTCCTGTGACAAAACAAAGTTTGTCGGGTAATATATATTTTTGGCAATCGAATTCTTGAAATATGATAAATTTAAAGAATGATAGCAATATTCAGCTCGACGAATCTCAACGTGAATCCAGTGTGTCTTCTCTGTCCGGGCCGGCCCTGGATGCGTCCCACCCGATTCTGTGGCGCCGCGACGTCGACGTCGTCTTATTCAGTACGGCGTTTCCCATGGTGGAGACGTGCAGGTGTCCGCTGCCGATGGCCCGAAAAAAATGTCGAAACGCCCCCATAGATGATGATGCCGGTGTCGCGAACATTTGACGATCCACCTCGAAAAAACCGACTCAAAAAGAAAATGCAAGCGACTCTGACGACCGCCGACTGAGATCACGGCGTGAGTGAACTGACACTACAGTGTACGTTTTTTTTTTTCGTGTTTATGGTCGAAAAATTCATGAACCAAGAATAGGTTTTGTGATTGTGTGAGGAGACGAGAGGTGAGTTTGTGTATATTTTTAAAGATGTTCAATCACTACTACGAATGTTTAAATAGACAGAAACAACTACACTACGTTTCGGATTTTTTGAATTGATGCTATCATTGAATAATAATAATGAATATGCTTCTCTGACATAAGATTAATTTGTTGATAAAGCGTGAACAATAGGATCCAAATTGTAAAGTATAGTAAGTATAAAAATAATAACGGTTTATTACAAACCGTCCTATACGGATATTACTATACATTACGATTCTACCCATCATTATCAGCACAAAGTAGCAGCTTATAATAGCATGATTCACAGATTAGTCAATGTTCCTCTTTTAATAGATAATTTCGATAAAGAACTCAATATCATCAAGCAAATTGCGTTAAACAATGGGTTTAAAGCCGAATTAATAAACAAAATACTTGCCAAGAAAGTCTACACAAAAGCGATTCGAGGTAGATAAGGTAGATAATCAAAATTATAGAGCTATAACGTATTTTTCGAGGAATCGAGATATTAAAATTGCATACAGAACAAATAATACGTTGGAAAAGTTAACTGAAAATAATAAAGACAAAAAATCCAAATTCTAGAAATCAGGAGTATATAAATTAAAGTGTGGAACGTGCCCTAAGGTATATATTGGTCAAACTGGCAGAACATTCAGGAATCGAATCCAGGAGCATCATACGGGCTATGTAAATAAGAAAACAAATTCAACATATTCAAATCATCTTCTAAAAGAAAATCACATCTTTAATGAAGAGTTCGAAATTTTGCACATAGAAAATAAAGGTTTGAAACTGAATCATTTGGAAGCAATGGAAATTAATAAACTTAAAAATTCAAACATTCTATTAAACGACCAACTAGATTTGAATAGGTCACCATAATTGAACTTGTTTTCTTGAAAACTGAGAAAGAATTATTATTGATGTAGATGTGAGGCAATATGCTTTAGGTAATCATAATTGAACAGGTACGTTATGTAGAGGTTCAGATAATTTCTTAGACGTAGTCTCAGTTATGGTTACCTGTAGTATATAAATAGTAATGTAAAGATACTTTGATGTACAAATCACTTGAAAAAGCTAATGTCTTGAAGTAATAAAATTTACACTGAAAGGTGTATATTTTTAGGAGATATTATTTTTTGAAAGAATCAACGCTGGAAAAATCTGAAAACATTGAAACGAATCATCGATTGCTAAGCTGTCCTTTATTTGGAGACTAAATCAGTGTCAAATGAAAAATCAACTACAGTCTCCAGTTTATTACAAGCTAGTTTATGTTTCCGAAGCCACTCAACTTGATTACCTAATTATCTGTTGGTACGAAGTTGCATTGTCATTTGTAACTTTATTAGACGCGGGACAATTTCATTAACGCGAACGGCGTCTAAACACGGGGTGGATGTAAAAGTTCGGATATGGATAAAATCTGGTTAAAATCATCTGGATTTATGAAAATGCAAGTAATCCAAAAACGCAGCAGATGTAACGTGTTTTTAGATCCTCTGTTAAATGGGTTCATATATTAGCTGCTAATGCACTTCTCTATCACCAAATAAAATTTGTAGGAGACTTCCGAAAATAAGTAGAATGAAAACTCTATCAAGATATATAGGTTATACACAAATACAAACTGGAAGAAAAAACCTTTCGAAACTGCAACTTTCTTTTCCAATCAGATATCATTCAGAGGAACGCTACATTATTCAGTATATGGAAGGATATTCTGAAATTGTCTTACATTGAATACTACTGAAAGGCGAAACAAATTCTTTTCCTGGTAACCGTCGACGCATGATTAACAAACCAAGTTGGCATCCTCGGGATATGAAAGAGTCAACTTGTTTTTGGAATACTACCACGGTGTACTACCAAGTTTCGGGTTAATGAACTTGTCTTATCACCTCATCAGCACCTGTTTGGATAACATCACAAAACGATACCATATTGAGTATGATATTCCATGTAAGTTATACTGCCCCTTTAAAATGTTTATAGAGGTATATTAGTTACGAAAAACATTTTTTTCGGGAAAACATCCGTTCTTTGTTTTCCGACGTTTCACCAACATCACAACCGACAGTCTCAAGATATATTAGTTCTTCACATGAACGTAAACAACAAAGGACAGATGTTTTCCCGAAAACATACACATACTAGGTATAGTTATATAAACAGTTCACCATGCGACGTTTGTAAAGGGTAAAGGTATTTTTAAAACAAGGTTCTAAGTATATTCATTAGATTCTGTACGAACATATCATTAACAACAATTGCATTAATTATTTTCTTTGTCATGAAATAATTATTCATTTACCGTTCACGCAAAAAGTTAATATATTCCTGAAAAACATATTTAATAAGTACAAGTAAATGAAAGTACACAAATTTTTATCAAAAATTCTGTATAAATAGCATGTCGAGTCTGAATTCAGCATCAAACGTTGAACGTCTGACTAAAGAAACAAACTCCAAGATGAAAGTGTTAGTTTTCGCCGTCATCGCCATGTTGGTCTTCGCTTCCGCCCTGGCTCACCCCTCGGGAATTGCCGTCGGAGTAGCCCCAGCTTGGGGAGCAGCTGGTTGGGGAGCTGGAGCTGGATGGGGAGCTGGAGCTGGTGCAGGTTTGGGAGCTGGAGCTGGATGGGGTGCTGGAGCTGGTGCAGGTTTGGGAGCTGGAGCTGGATGGGGGGCTGGAGCTGGTGCAGGTTTGGGAGCTGGTGCTGGATGGGGAGGTCGTGCAGGATGGGGAGCACACGGAGGATGGTGAGGTCCCAGATCTTCCA